ATTATGCTCGAGTTTTCGATAATCATCAGCAGTGAATTCAAATTTGGGTTTAGGAACAACTTTACCTTCGGAGTCCACCTTAGTAATGACGTTATCACCTGCCTCAATTACGTTCCATACCTAATAGTTTTCAGCTTTGATGAAGTTCTCCATTCGACTCTTCCAGAATTGGTAAAATTTGCCGTTGAACAACGGTGGTCGTTGAGTCGAGTATCCTTCCTCCAATCGTTCAACCGTATTCATGCTGCCAGATATCTTCCCAAGGTATTAACCTTTATGTGGCGAAGACCGGCTCTGATACCAATTGATGAAACGGTTAGCAACACAAGAGGGGGGGGGGGGGGGGGGTGAATTGTGTGTGTGTTGAACCGTGGCAGTTTTTCGCACAGTTCTAGTGTGGGGTCCGGGGAATTGCAAAATAGTAAAGTGCACAAGGATTTAACGAGGAAAAATCCCTTGGCTCAAAGGGATTAAAAAACCTCGACCTCCCTCGGAGGAGTTTTCAACAACTTCACTAATAAGCCTTTTGTGGTTATAAGGTAAATTCTCCTAATCTACACTTGAGCCACCCCAACTCTATCCTCTCTAGGAAGAGTTATGCATCTCTACCTTGCGGGTAGAGAGCCTCTCAGCTTTACAACAAAGCTCTCACACACACTACCCCAACCAGAGGAAGCTACACTTAAGTTGTTCCTCAAACTTCAATTACAAAACAAGTAAGAGAAAAGAAACTATATGTAGAACTCTGTAAGCAGGTCCGGTTGCCTTGGTCTTGATACTCTCTTATAAGTATTTCTCTCTATAATTGTTTGGTCAAGCTCACATCATTTCTCTTTGGCTGCTTTGTTTATATAGGCTGTCTTGGGCAGACCGTTTAAGCATCCTTCCTTGAATAGTTGATCTTCTAATCTTGGGACTTGCCTCAATATTTTGAATTGCTTTCCTTTTTCTTTATAATATTTCCCATATCCGAGCTCAATATATAAGGTAGCCGAATTAAAATATCTTAATCATATATTCAAGGTAGCATATCAGTCCCGGACTAAGAGAATAAATACAAATAGCTCATCCAAATCTTGTGTGATTAATTAATTATCAAATAAGACAGACTTAGGTCAATTCCCAAAAAGGTATGAATATTATTCTCAATATAAGCAAGCAACGGATTAAGATATGGAATATATTTCAAACAACTTTTACTTTTTCAAATCCGTATAGCAAGGGAATATTTTACCTACCATAATAAGCATGTGACGGCCCATGCCAGAAAATATCCATACTCAAACTATTCACTTATTAAGTTGATCAAGGATAACTTTTATGGCAAGGAGATATTTAGCAAAGCATGCAATACGTAAGTGCTATGGTCAACCACCAAATGTAATCAAATAAGGATACTTTCCATAAAGTAATAAGCTATACTAATAAGTGGATGTCTAATCAAGTATGGAAAGAGAATAATCACTCAAATAAGCACTCATACAAGCAAATTACGTATATCATGCCAAGAAGGATATTTTTGCTTAAAATCATATTTTTGACAAACTATAATCACTCATATAAGGAAAGCATATTAATTGAAAATCAAGTAGGTGCAATCCATATTAATTCAAATCATATTACGGAATTAGAAATGGAGCTGCATTAGTTCCTCCTTCATGGTTAGTCAATCAACACATTAATAATATCCATTTGTTTCGGAGGATAGTTCTGTCCGTTGTTCCGCAAGGAACTGTGAGCGGTTCTATCCGCCGTTCCACCTGCATGGTTAGTCATCAACAAAACAATCATACTCAACAACTTTACTTCCTTCATGAAAATTATAGATAATGAAGTCCTCTATCCACCAAAACTTGCCTAATTGGATTTGAATCATCCAATCAAGAGATATGAAGAAAATAGTGAAATGACTCATTCTGAAATCGCAACAGGGATCATCTGACTTCGTTGTCTGTGTTCACCTTCTTCCTCTCCGATTCTCGCAAAAGTGTCTTCGCATGTTTTGTAGCCCTTGAAGTTTTCATTCATATAGAATTTGAACCGTGTACATTGGATGTTTCTACAAAGAGATATGCGTGAATGATTGACAGAAGGCCATCCTGATCGCCGATTTCAAGCTCCATTCGTCTTTTTTTGATCTCGTAGCCAATCCTAGAGCTCTTTTGTCATCGAATCTTCATCGTGGACCTCCCACTAACCTCCAAAGATCTCAATTCACTCTCGAATGCATCTCGAATCATCGTGATTACTCTTCAAGCGCCGGTGCCAAACTCTAAATTCCTGATTTTGACTCCAAATGACACAAAACTCGAACCAACGCCTGGTAAACATAACTTAAGCTAAAAATGAGACTTGCAACACCTTAAATCTAGGAAACCCATCAAAATCCAATCCCAACACGCATCAAATGCGTGTCTAAATATGGACTTATCAGCTTGGCAGTGACCTCTATTTCATCGGCACGTCTCCCAGAAACCCTGAGGGCTTCCTCGACCAAGGACTTGGTATGGAGGATACTGGCCTCCCTCTTTTAGGCTTGACGGGCGCGGTACTCCGCCTCATCGGCCCTGCGGCCAAGCTCATGGCACAGGGAGGCAGTCTGAAAATAAAACAACGCAGTTAGAAACTCCCAACTGCAATTGAAACCATAAAAAAAGATTAGTAAGAAGCATCATAACTCACCTTAAGGAAGGAGTTGGGCAGCCTCCGGGGGCATTTCCCTGGTAGTCATCATCCCCAAGATCTGGTCATCAGTATGGGGCCGGATCTGAGATGAGAATTCCATCCCATGGACTGTGCAACCAATAAAAGTGTGGTCTTGGTCCATCCCGTAGGAGAATCTCTGAACATGAGGGTCCCCATACTTGCGACAACTGGGGAACCTGGAAGAACCTCATCTTACTTGTGGAAAGGGATCGATTTCTGTATTCTCTTGTTGTTACTCTGCTAAAATATTTACCTGAACATTCTAATCTGCTCTTCTCTCTTACTCTACTCAGATGCCATCTACCCCTAGACTGGTGATCCATTATTATTATCATTATTATTATTATTATTATTATTATTATTATTATTATTATTATTAGTATTATTATTGTTGTTATTATTGTTATTATTGTTATTATTGTTGTTATTGTTGTTGTTATTATTATTATTATTATTATTATTATATGTCAAGTAATACTAGGCTTTCAATAATACTCCGGAATATAATAAATAAGGTTAAACATCGACATGAACAAACAAACTGGTGTAGTTCGGTGGTTTGGAACTTGGAAGCATTGTATTTAGGTGAATGACCTTGGCCCATATTTTTGCAAACAATTCCAGGTTATACTAATTTTCCGGGTTTCGAGCTCAACTAACTTTTTACTTTCCTAATTAATTTATGTATCATATGTATCATTTCATTGCTACTTTTTGTGAATATATATTTTCTCTATCTTACTTTTTGGAGGTTAGAATGACAAAATAACCATTGGGAAAAGCTTATGTAGGCTCTCGAACTAACCTTAAAAATACAAATCACCACTTATATAGGAGATTTTGTCCGGCCGTCGTCAGTTGGGGCGGTTCTCGATGTAACTTTTTGATGAAATGTTTTTAGCATCTTCTTCATTAAGTCTAGTTTACTCATACCAAATGTCAGTTAAAAATTCAACCGGGAAGACAGTCCAATGAATTTTTGAAGATAATTGTGCAGTTAAACAGCGCGGTATTTTTCAGAAAATCATTTGACTGTATTCCCGGTTGAATTAACTAAATTCAATTTATGTCATTAATTGAATAAATAAATTTTCTGCTATAACCGATATTGTCTAATAAATGTCATCATATTCCATATTAAAAAATAGTTTATTTAAGCAACTGATATTAACTCAAGTGAATATTATTATGCCATAAAAACTCCATAAATTGCACTCACAATACATTTTTTTAGAGCGGACGGTTTTTTAGGTCAAAAATACTTTGTTAAACATATAAGAGTTTTTATCATTTTTCGTCCTCCGATTATTATGTCATTGATACTTTTCGTGCTCGACTTTGATTTTTTTATTTTTAGTTCTTAACTATCTTGCTAGAGACACTTTTGGTACATATCTTTGAAAATTTCCTTATTTAGTCTTCCGACTTTCATAAAAGTTGCGCTTTTGATCTTTCAACTATAATAATAATAATAATAATAATAATAATATTTTTAGTCCTCTATTTTTTGTATCAAAATCATAGTTGAAGGACTAAAAGTGTCAATTTGATCATACTTAGAGGACTAAATTTGGGAAACTTTAAAGACAAGGACTAAAAATGTCTCTAGCACAATAGTCGAGGACTAGAATTGGAAAAATTAAAAGTCGAATACCAAAAGTGTCAATGACACAATAGTCGAGGATCAAAAATGGAAAAAACTCAACATATAATGTACCGATCGACACATGAGTAAATAGTACAAGTAGACTTAAATGTCATAAAGGATAATGATGATGAGTTATATGCTAATTAAATTCAATTTATGTCATTAATAGAGCAAGTAGATGTCCTTATCTCTTCTCCATTATTAGCTAATATATATGCTGGAAGTTATTTAATTGTCATTAAATAAAAAAGTTCAATTTTCCTTTTATTGTTTAAGCCTTTAAATTGGGTCAACCTCGCTGCTTCGCTGCCCCATTAACATTAATAAAAGTGTTACAGTATTTGTCCCACACCGAAAAGTAATAAAACAAAAAAGCACTATATAATACTTAGGGCTACTGCTTCAATCAGGTTGACATTTTAGAATGGAACCTCATGTTTTAACATGGTATCAGAGGCAAGTCTGGTTGTGGTTGGATTGTACGTTTAGTACCCATGATTAAGGGTAATTTATTAAGGGTTTGTTTGGCTCATTTATACACCCTGATATTGTCTAGCGGCCCGGTTCGGGCCGAGCGGACGTGTTGAAGTATTTATCCCGCACCGAAAACAATAAAACAATAAAACAGTATATAAGACTTTGGCGTTGTTAATTAATTATATATTTGAGTTTTTAAATGAAGCTTCTTAATTGAATTGATCAGTCGTCATTTATTATTTAAGCTAGATACATGGAATTAGCTGAATCATTAGTTGATGTGTGCGTGAATATGAGATAATGGAGCAGCAGCTTTATCAATTACGCAGTATAATTGGGGGTCATCGGAACATGGAGCATGAAATTTAGCATCACACAACGTTTCGCAATGTCCTTCCAACAAGATAGGGTCATCCAAGGTCCCGTATTTCCCGGGGGTATTTTCGGCAAAGCATTCTTCCATACAGTGACAATATGCTGCTTTGGGGCACTCCTTTGATAATGATGATGATTCACAAACGTAAACCATATTTACCAATACCATCACCGTCATCATCATCACAATAATATCACTGCTGCTTCCCCCAACCTTCTTGTAGCTTACCACCCTGCAGTACTCGTTATCAAGAAAGAATATTTACACAAAATGCAATTAATTAAGATCGAGTAGCTAGTTTTGATTTTTTCTAAAATAGATTTCTTGTAGAGATATGCAAACTTCAAAAAAGGAAGTGCAAACAGTAAGATTGTCACAATAATTCAAAAATTATTCATGAGAATTAAATTCATTACTTTTACTACTAGTATTTTATAATAATAATAATAATAATAGTAATAATAATATTAATAAAACTTAACTAAGTGTAACCTTACATGGTATATAAGAACGAGTATCTGGTCTATAACTAGGCCAAAATAGTGTACCGATTTTGTAGTGTTTCGTGTTGGCTATAGCTACTTCAAATGTGTGTATATATACCCACACATACACACACTCGGTGTATCCGATATTCATTATCATTTATTATGATGTGCCATCACATTCATAACATGTAACACATACATCTTGACATATAAAATTAATAAATTTAATTCAATAACGTATATACATCACATTTATAACATTTCTTGTGATATTTAATTTATACTTCTGAACCATATTCAGAAGTTTTTTAAAGCGGGAGCACTGTTGCATAAGTTGAAATGAATCAGGTTGGGTCAGGTGCACCACTAGTCTATTTTGTATAGTTCGCTCAAAATCATTATTTTTATCCGAAAATAGATTATTAAATGCCGGTTTCAAGCGATTGATATCTATAAATTAAAGATCTAGTTTTGAACTCATTAACAGAGCCGTGTAATTAATTTGGAGGCCCCGGTTCGAAATGTAAAATCTGGACCCCACATTAATATACAAAATAAAAAAAACTCATTCTAAATACTTATACTCAAATCAATTGAATAGTCATTAAATAATGTTATGAAAAAATCATCATAAAAGTTACTAAATGTTTGATTTAAAGCAATACAACTCATTACTCGAACAATTTGAGTAAAAGAGAACTAAAAGAACCGAAAAAAGTGATAGATCTTTATTTTCTTCCTTACTATAGCTAGCTAATTGTATTACGTACTTGATTAGTATTAATATGCTCCGTATAATATTACTACAAAGTATGTAATACTAATACTACATACTATCCTCCGTTCTTTAATTCTTGCAACAGTTTGACTTTCACGTTTACCAACGCACAACTTTGAATGTAATTATATTTAATTATGTATTAGTAAACTTTATTAAAATTTGATATTTTGGAAATTCACATTGATAGAAATTTAATAACATTTTATACGTAATAATTTGATTATGTATATTAGTAGAAAATCGTGGTCAAAATATGCTCTGTGAATATTTTTCTTAAATATTGGGGCTCATAAATATATGGGCCTTACTGTAGAACCTATTGAACCTCCTAAAAACCAGATCTACCCATCAAAATCATTCTAAACAATAATAATTGAATTTCTTAAAGAGAGACATGATTTGGATTAGAATTGAATCACTCTTGCACCATTTGTGATTTTACATTAGATTTCTATTTATTTTTCACACTATAAAATGGTTATGATTTTAGTTCTAAACTAGGACTATGTCGAATGTTAGACATTGTGCCACATAATTTATCTTTACTTGTTTAAAATATAATATTACCGAGTTAAAAATGAAGTATAATTCATCTTTGTTATTTTATCCTTCAATGCAACTTTATTTAATAATATGCAGTACAAAAAATCAAAGTGTCTATCGAGTCTAACACTAATTTATCATATTGCAGTACAAAAAATCAAAGAGTCTATCGAGTCTAACACTAATTTATCGCAAATTGACATATGTGTCTTGAACAGCCATACAGAATGGCACTAATGACTTAGAGCTGGGGGCAGTGGTATTTGCATTGAATGGGAGGGTGATTGCCTATGCTTCACGACAGTTGAAGAAGCATGAGGTTAATTATCCTACTCATGACTTAGAGCTGGGGGCAGTGGTATTTGCATTGAAGATTTGGAGACATTATCTCTACGGGGAAACATGTCATATATACACCGACCACAAAAGCTTGAAATACGTGTTTACTCAGAAAGAGTTAAACATGAGACAGAGACGGTGGATGGAGTTGATAAAAGACTACCATCTAGTTATCGAGTACCACTCCGGTAAAGCCAACGTGGTAGCGGATGCCTTGAGCCGAAAGAATTCGTCTGGGGCATTGTTGACTAGTTTGAGGGCATTGAGAGCCCAATTGGAGGTATCTAGCGATGGCGCCTTGTTAGCTAGATTCGAGGTGAGACCTACATTGCTTGATGAAATCAAGAAGGGTCAAGAAACCGATGAAGAGCTTATGAAAATCCGTGAACGCATGCTAGCGGGACTGGTTGAGGATTTCAGGGAAGGAGACGATGGTCTCTTATTATTTCGTGACCGAGTGTGTGTACCGTTGGACGATGAGCTCCGAAAGTCCATCTTAGAGGAGGCTCATTCATCGGCGTACGCCATGCATCCGGGAGGCACGAAAATGTACCGTGATTTGAAAGAAAGTTACTGGTGGTCTGGTATGAAGAGGGAAATAGCCGAGTACATCAGTAGGTGTCTTACTTGTCAGCAAGTTAAGGCAGAACATCAGCATCCAGCTGGGTTATTACAGCCACTTTCCATTCCTGAATGGAAGTGGGAACACGTGACTATGGATTTCGTGGTGGGGCTGCCACGGACGGTTAAGAACTATGACGCCGTATGGGTTGTGGTTGATAGGCTCACGAAGAGTGCACATTTTCTACCTATCAACACCACCTATGCACTGGAAAGATTAGCCAAGTTGTATGTGGATGAGATCGTGAGGCTACATGGGGTTCCGATAACCATTGTATCCGATAGAGATCCGCGATTCACATCACGATTTTGGCCGAAGTTCCAAGAATCTATGGGGACAAAGTTGAAATTCAGCACAGCTTTTCATCCACAAACGGATGGGCAATCCGAGCGGGTTATACAGATATTAGAGGATATGCTGAGAGGTTGTGCATTGGAGTTCCAAGGGAGTTGGGAAAACCATTTGGCACTTGTGGAGTTTGCCTATAACAACAGTTATCAGGCGAGTATAGGCATGCCTCCATACGAGGCATTGTATGGGAGGAGATGTCGTACACCTTTGTGTTGGGATGAGGTTGGCATGGCCAAACTCGAGAGCACGGAACTGGTGGAGATCACCAAGTCAAAGGTGAAGATGATTCGTGAGAGACTTAAGGCGGCACAGGATAGAAAGAAGAGTTATGCCGATAAACGTCGAAGAGCCTTAGAGTTTAAGGTTGGGGATGAGGTATTTTTGAAGGTTTCACCTTGGAAAGGGATCATCCGATTTCAGAGCCGAGGGAAACTTAACTCACGCTACATAGGGCCATTTGTGATTCTTGAAAGAATCGGGGCCGTAGCATACCGATTACAGTTGACTCCGGAATTGGAGAAGATGCATAATGTATTCCATGTGTCTATGCTTAAGAAGTATATTCCGGATCCATCTCATGTACTAGAAAAACCACCCGTGGAAATACGGGAAGACTTGAACTACGTCGTGCAACCGGTAAGGATACTTGATAGGCAAGTAAAGAAGCTAAGAAGCAAGAAAGTTCCAATGGTTAAAATCATTTGGAAGAGTGACCGAGTTGAAGAAGAAACTTGGGAGACTGAAGCCTCGATGAAGGAGCAATATGCATCTCTGTTTGAATAATCGTTGTGAATTTCGGGGACGAAATTCCCGTTAAGGGGGGTGAACTTGTGACACCGTCCCCAAGCATGTTTACTCTTAAGTAAATTATGTAATAAACCTTGAAGGATGATTTATGAATGTACGTAATTGTTTTACGTGAACAGGGACCACAGCGGGAACGTAATTGTGAATATATTGTACGTTATTATTTCTTTTACGTGAATAGTAAATTGCATGTGGGGCCCACAGCGGGAACGGGGACCGCCCGATAATTCCCGAACCACATATTATATTGATCTGGGTCTATATGACATCTATATGGAGGTGGATAGTTTAATTGGGCAATGGGAAGGGCATGGAATTGACCGGTGGGTCAAACGAGGCCCAATTACCGGTATTGGTAATTTAGCGGATAACAGCCCGAAATGAGTTTCGGAGACTCCTAAATTAATGTTGGGGAATGTACATCTATTCTAAAGACCCATAATTATTAGGGACGCGTGATATATTTTATTTGGCCCGATAAAATAAAATATGATTAAAACAGTCCGAGAAATACAACTTTCGGGGTCGATGGTACACACCGGGACATAATGGGATGACCTCCCACATAGGGGGGGCACACCACGTTTTTAGGTGCCCAGATTGACAAACTAAGGGGGAGGGGCGTGCATGAGGAAGTCTCATTGAGACAAAGCCCACACCCACCCATTAATTCCCTTTTGGACTCATCACATGAGTGATTGAGTTGTGAGTAAAAACACTCCCCCACTCCTATTCCAATCATACGATCCACTCAAGCCAAGAGATAGGAGGAGAAGCTATAAAGTCTAGAATCCAGCTCAGGTCTCAACCAATTTCATCCACAAAGGATGAATTCCACACACTAGGATCAACAAGGGGTGTTTGTGGGCATCTGCCTTCTACCTAATTCCGACCAAATCAAAGGGTTCCACAGAGGAGGCAGCAAGATGAGGGAATAGGGTTTCGACTCACGCCCGTTCCATTGGCAAGGAAGGTAGTATATATAGGCGAACCAAGATAACAGAGGTGGTAACTTACCTTCCATGGAGTAAGGTTTGAATTTCGCAGGTCTCTGTAAAGGAAAGAATCGCCCAGAACATATGGGAAGAAGAGGAAGCCGATCGTGAGAATAAAACCAATGGGCCAGGGACGTAGCCAAGGGAAAATGGGCTTATAGTAATAGGTGGGCCAATACCAACACATTCTCCACCTTATTGGACCCTAGTGGTGTAGACCATAACGCTCTAAACAATATGAGACTCATCATCGCTGGATTGCCCGAATGATCACAAAGACACATTTAGGCAAAAGGGGTAAGATCACCAGGCAACTTATCCGCAATCAATGTTTAACGTGCGCTTGCACGACAACAACTTTTCGACAGAGAGACATTTAGTCCCCATGTCAGCAGGATTAAATTCCGATGGAATTTTAATCAACTTGATATCACCTGTACTAACAATATCACGTATAAAATGAAATCTAACATCAATATGCTTAGTTCTATCATGAAAAATGGGATTTTTACACAGTTGAATAGCAGATTGACTATCAGAAAACACACAAATGTCCTGATTAAGACTACCAATCTCCGTTAGGAGACGCTTAAGCCAAATGGTTTCCTTAAACGCTTCGGTAGCGGCCACATACTCGGACTCAG